TGCGATGCCCAGCAGGGTGCAAGGTTATTACGCCGACACTGCAGCTGAAGCCGGCTGCCAGGTGTTCCATATCTGCCAGGACCGCGCCCTCAGGGCCAACAGGACTCCTTCCTGTGCCCCAACGGTACCATCTTCAACCAGCAGTACCTGGTATGTGACTGGTGGTTCAACGTGGACTGTTCTCAAGCTGAGAGCTTCTACTCCGTCAACGAGCTCATCGGAGTCGTTCCCGACGCCGGTTATGCTTATGCTGCCGCCACCAACGGCCTCCTCAACGGAAACGGATATGGATCCAACGGCAACGGAGGGAACGGAAACGGAAGGAACGGAGCTAACGGAAGGAATGGCAACGGAGCCACCAATGGAAATGGATATCGCTCAAACGGCAACGCAACGGTGCAATGGCTTCAACGGCAACGGCAGAACGGCTATGGTTCTAATGGCAACGGCAACGGAGTCTCCAATGGCAACGGCAGGAACGGCTATGGTTCTAATGGCAACGGAGCGAACGGTGTCAATGGAAATGGTCTCAACGGCAGTGGATATGGATCTAATGGAAACGGCTTCGGAAGAAGCTCACTGAATGGCAATGGCAATGGTGCAAATGGTAATGGAAACGGCAATGGTGTTAATGGCAATGGAAATGGGTACAACGGCAATGGTGCAAATGGTAATGGCAATGGAAATGGTACAACGGCAATGGTGCAAATGGTAATGGCAATGGAATGGTACAAATGGTTGGTAATGGCAAATGGAACATAATGGTAATGGAAACGGCAATGGCGTTAATGGCAATGGAAATAGATACAATGGCAATGGTGTAAATGGAATGGAAACGGTCATAACGGCAATGGCCTTAATGGGAATGGAAGAAGCGCCTTCAACGGCAATGGCAACGGATACAACGGCAATGGCTTCAATGGCAATGGGAACGGCAACGGAGTCCCTGCCGCCCCTTCTGCCTCCTACGGCGCTCCTTTCTAAACGGACTCTCGTTCGCCTCCTCAACTGGCTCTCCTCAGTAAACGCATGTATATTTCAGCGCTTGGCACAGAATCTATTTTTGCAAGAATAAATACCCCGCACAAACTCCACTACTTTTCTTACCTATGACTGCCGTGACAACAGTAAAAGCTTTAACCTTGTTTAGATTCCGAATACATGTATATACACTGGAATCGCNAATGAGTGAGAGTGAGAGAGAGAAATGAGAGTGAGAGAGAGAGAAATGAGAGTGAGAGAGACAAATGAGAGTGAGAGAGACAAATGAGAGTGAGAGAGACAAGAGAGAGGGATAGAATAGGGGGGTGAGCAGGAGAGAATATGGGGGAGAGCAGGAGAGAAGAGGGAAGAGAGGGAGAGAAGAGGGTAGATTGGGAGAGAAGAGGAGAGAGCTGGGAGAGAAGAGGGGAGAGAGGGAGAAAAGAAGGAAAGAAAAAAAGAAAGAAAAGCAGAGGGAAAGGTTGCATGATAAGTTGGGAAAGGGATTTTTTCCATATGATCCAAAAAAAGAGAAGGAAGAAAATAAAAGAAAATACTGTGTGTTAGTATAAAGGGTCGAGATAAGAGATTATAGTCTCAGTTGAAGTTTTCTAGATTCTTTAAGTCACTCCATGAGAACTGGTTACCAAAAGGGTCTGCAGGTTCAGCTGGAGGATCTTCTCTACTGGAGGAGGCATCTTGGTAAGTATGGCTGCTGTCATCTAAATCTTCAGAAGATGACCGATCATCACAGTATTTCTGATATTTTCTCTGTTGGGAATTTGAGGCACGATGAAAACTGTAGCTCTTGTATCTTTTTGACTTGTTCATCCTTTCGTAATCTGGGTTTTCCATACACAACACTGTCTTCTTCTGATACTTGAAGTGGATCTTGCTTCTCTGATCTTGAGAGCTGTAAGAGCCTCTTTCTTCTGCACGAGGCTGGTTGCTATAGGACATGGAGGTCCAGCTCGGAGCAGTGTCATAGCCCTCTGAGCCTAGTTCTGGAGCTTCAACCCAGGCTGAGCCCTCATCAGAGACTAAGAATGGAATCTGTTCTGTATCTTTAAAGTTAGCAGTCTCCTCATAAGACTGAGGCTTTGTTTTAGACATCTCAGCATTAGTAGTTTCTGGCTTTTGAATATCAGTGGGAACATATTCAGGAGAATCAATGCCTTGGTTTGCTTCCTTGGCCGCAGAAATGTTTGGTTCAAAAGAGGTATCTACAGGTTCAGAACTGTTTGTGGTTGTCTTAGGTGAACCTTCTCTTGAATCGCATTCTTCCTGGTTATCATGATTTATTTTCTTGATAATACTGAAATGTCCCAGCATGTGGAGAGGCAGCTTTGAAGAGATATTTGTCTGAAACATATAAAAATATATTCATTATCTATTATATATCATCTACGCCTCTGTAGCAGAGAGAGAGAGAGAGAGAGAGAGAGAGAGAGAGAGAGAGAGAGAGAGAGAGAGAGAGAGAGAGAGCAAGAGAGAGAGAGAGAGAGCAAGAGAGAGAGAG